GGCGTGTGACGGAGCCATGGGTAGGGTTGCCAGGTGTCCGGTTTTCTCCTGGACAGTTGGATTATTTTGTCTTCCGTCTGGTAAAAAAAAAAAAACCCAGAATACCAGCCATGTAAAATGTCCGGTATTTTCTGCAAGGGCAGGGGGAGCGAGGAGCATGGTCGTTTAAAGGCGCAGTGACCTTTTTTTTTTTTTTTTTGTCTCCCCTGGTTTTTCCCTGCCTGTTTGGGATTTTTTGCAAAGGTATCTCTCCACCCTACCCGCAGACTCTGACAGGGGCCCTCTGCTGTGTCCCGCAGGCTCCCGGTGTCCGGCCCGGCCGAGGGGAGCAGCTGTGGGGCGGTGAAGGGGACTCGGCTTCACTCTGACACCTGCAGCTCCGTATTCCAGTGGATTTGCCAGCGCGACGCCATCCCGCTCTGAGCAAGGCAGCTCTGGCCCCGCAATAATGGGACGGGGCCGTTCGTCAGCAGAGCAGTTGCTTTAAATCTGGCATTTCCACTCCTCGGATCTCCCATGGTGCCGGTGCTCCAGATCGGTGGCTTGTGTGTAACAAGATGGAGTCAATGACCTTTGACCCCAGAACTCCATCTTGGCCTTTGCTCCTCCTGCCCTGTCGGCCTGCCCTTGGGACATTCAGTGACTGTTTGGGAGTTGGATCATCCCCCAGTGGCCAGAGGTCCCTTTACCTCCCACTCCCGCCAAGGGAACATTCAAAAGTCGTGACCGATATCAGCCGGCTGCCGTCTACCCCTAGCTGCCACACAGAGTTGTCTATCAGCACCTGCCAGAGAGGGAGAGACAAGTTGCTTCTATGTAGTCACCATCACTAATCACCTGTCACCAATGTTCCCTCTAGTCTTTTTTTGCTCACGTGTGGAATAAATTTTATTATATGCACCAACGTGTGTGGGAATGTGCACCACCTGGAGAAACAAAAACCTACCTGTGCGGGCTTTGCTCATCAGTTGTGTTGCTACTTTCTCCCCTGTTTCTCCCAGACACTGTGTGTACTTAATCCCTAATAGACCCGTCTTTGGTTCATCCTCTGTCTCCTTGTTATTTGGGGAGGGTTAGGGTTAGGGTTAGGGTTTAACACCCCAGTGCTTGGGTTTAGTTTCCCTGGTCTAACCGTAAATAAAACTGGCCCGACTGAGGTTTGACAGTGTAGACCAGCGTTTCTTAAACGGTTATGCGGTACACTGGTGTGCCGCAAGGCCGTTGGAGGTGCGCCGTGGAGAACAACAGAGTTCAACATTGCTGCCCGGGCAGGCAAACTTTTTTTTTTTTTTTGCTCAGTAATATTCGTGGTGGAGCTACTCCAGCCAGGGTCATGTCACCCCTCTGGCTGGGTGACCCCAGGAAGCATCCTGGTCCCCCCAGTGGGGCAGGGCGGTGCCAGGGCTGGGGTTTGCCTTGCAGGCTGTTCCCCGGCCCATCATGTTATGCTTCAACAAAGCACACGAGATCTTTTATAGGGGAAAAGACAGTATACCGCATTGATTGAGAATACAACAGTTGCATATGCTTTTCAGGCACTCACACACACCACATACACACAGTCCCGCCAGACGACATTGTAGTTACCAGTCCAGATTCTGAATCAGACTAGTTGCTTGCAGGCTGTTCCCCGGCCCATCATGTTATGCTTCAACAAAGCACACGAGATCTTTTATAGGGGAAAAGACAGTATACCGCATTGATTGAGAATACAACAGTTGCATATGCTTTTCAGGCACTCACACACACCACATACACACAGTCCCGCCAGACGACATTGTAGTTACCAGTCCAGATTCTGAATCAGACTAGTTGCCATCTAGATCGCTCAGAGAGGGAGAACCGGGCCTTCGTCAGTCGATTGATCCGATGTGTCTCTGAAGTTGGTGGCAAGACGAACCCAAAGTTCCATAGCAAAGCTCCCTGCTTTTATCATCCTTTCCTCTGTTGAAATCCATGGATTCTGCTGTGTCTGCCTGTGACCGGAGTGTTATCTTGTTGATGTCAATCATTCCCGAATATCTCTTGAAGGCCCAGCCTGTAATCCATCGTCTTTTGGGGGTGCCCACTCCGCTTCGAGGCTGGTCGAACTACCACTCCTGCGTCAATCGTCCAATCCCTCCTTTTCACGTGTACGCATCTCTGACGCCAGGTAGTCTGTAGTCTGGTCTTCGCCCACACTCAACCTCCTTCTTTGGCCATCTGGTTCTGAGCAATAACATTTTCCACCTTATCTCGACACATTCATTCCCTTTTCACACACATAAGCAATGTGTTCTCGAGGTTATGCGGCACAACATTGAAGAAGCATTGTAAATCAATCAATTAAGGCCTCAGCGTTCAGCTTTCAACATTCCTCTAGTCTCATTGACACAGACACTATACCCAAAACTATCTTTCTACTTACGCCCATTTATTAAACTCACTAAACTTTAGGACAAAGAAATGGACATTTAACGAAAAGACTTAATTTAATAAAGTATTAAATATATGCTAATATATACCTTACATTGCTCTATTATTGCTACATTATTAAACTGCATGGCTACGTCTACACTGGCATGATTTTCCGAAAATGCTTTTAACAGAAAAGTTTTCCATTAAAAGCATTTTCGGAAAAGCACGTCTAGATTGGCAGGATGCTTTTCCGCAAAAGCACTTTTTGCAGAAAAGCGTTCGTGACCAATCTAGACGCGGTTTTCCGCAAAAAAGCCCCGATCGCCATTTTCGCAATCGGGGCTTTTTTCCAGAAAACAGTACTGTGCTCTCTACACTGGCCCTTTTGTGCAAATGATTTGCGCAAGAGGGCTTTTGCCCAAATGGGAGCAGCACAGTATTTCTGCAAGAACACTGACGATCTTACATGAGATCGTCAGTGGTCTTGCGGAAATTCAGGCGGCCAGTGTAGACAGCTGGCAAGTTTTCCACAAAATCATCTGATTTTGCGGAAAAACTTGCCAGTCTAGACACAGCCCATTACTATATTGCTGAACCTAAAATACGAATATAAGAAGAAGAAAACTTTCTGTTCCAACAACCAGGGAGGGAGGGGAATGGACTTGCCTTCGGTGCCAGCCGCTTGCATCTGGTTGGTGAAGAACGCGGGCAGAGGAGTAAATCAGGCCATGCAAGCACTGTCCCCTCGCTCCCTGATAGTCCGGGCAAAGGGATGAAAGGCCGCCCGCTCCCCGGTGTGCACGGTGGTTGCCTGCTCGCATCTCCACCCTTCCTTGGTGCAGGGATGCCAAGGCCGGCTGCCAGCTCGGGGCAGCACCAGGACGGGACAGCAAATCGGCCTCATCTCCACACTGAGCTGTTGGCCTCTGGCCAGGACAGGTT